TGGGGAAGCCAGATTCACTTAACAACTGTGTTACTAACTTAACAGCTGCAGGGATTCATTTAACAACTACGGAAAGAGGGGCAAAACTCACTTAAGAGGTAAAATTAACAACTGTCTTTGTTTAACAATGGAAATTTTAATGGCTCAACTGTGATCCTAACTCCACGACTGCCTGTACTGTATAAGGAAAAAGTTCCTTATGGTAGCATCTAACCAAGAGTTGGATCGGTGGGATCCTTGGTGCTCTCCCAGCTTGGTGGTTTTCTTGTAGATTTGTGTTGAATTTATGTTTACCGACAAAAAAAATAAAGGGAGACTAGTATAAATCTATTTCAAGCTATTCAACTCTCATCAGTTAGCTATACCCTTCTGGGATTTGAACCCGGGCTACTTGCATATTAGATAGCTGTATTTACCTCTAAGCCACGGGCTCTCCTCATTTTGTTGGCTATACCAGGGGAGAAATTAAGTGTTTTTCCGGTGGGACCGGTCTACCAGGGTAACTTGGTCTACCCAATTATGTCTTCAATTATATATTTTCTTGTAGATGTTTCATTACCAATCTAAGTAACATCATCAGGACCAGCTAGCTAGTCGGATGGGTAATATTCTGTGCGTTCTCCAGGGATTTTAAACAAAATGCACGTCTCAAAGGGTGGTTTAATTGGCTTCCCTATGCTTTTGTAGAGCTTTGGAGATCCAGGTGATCCCTTCCAAATCTGTTCCAGGTGATGCCGGCATATATGTCGCCTCATTGGTGCAAAGGGCGGAGTGGTGCGGTGGCCTAGAGGTGGAGCTCTCACCTCACCGAGCTGCAAATTCGATCCTAGGTAGAGGCAGATGTTTCTCTCTCTCAGTGACAATATATCTGCTGAACAAAACTCTGCATCGGCGAGGGGAAAGGCATCCAGCCAGTAAAACACTCTGCTAGTTCCATTCAGTTGTCCAGACTCAGCCCCGCAAGGGATTATGGGGTCATTAAATGATGATGATGATGATTGGTGCGAATGTCAATGTTAATAAATAAATACGCCTACTTATCAAGGCACCAAATTCTTAAGGAATTTAACAACCCGAAGAATCTCTTGGTAGCGAGATGGGCAGCAGATAAATTTAAGAAATCAATAAATAAACCTGTTCCTGGCCACGTGTTCCCACCGGGAACAAGCCTGCTGGACAGAAGCGAGAACCACAACACTGCACGTGTGCACTGTGGATAGGTGTGAGTATACACAAGTTGCCGGCTTCTCCCAGTTCCAACTCTAACGAGGACAAAGGGGATAAAAAGAACCAGAGCGTCATTTGCCAGGCTCTTTAGCTAACAGGAAAGAAGCAAGCTGGGTTTTTTAAGGCTCGGTAAACAAAGCCAAGCAGAAAACATGTTGTGACATCAGATAACGAGAGAGTCTCCCCGGGGGAAGCACAAGTCATACGACACTTCTCCGGTAGCAGCCGAAAACATTTGGTAGCTCTTTATTATTATTATTTTTCTTGGAAGTCGTCTTTCTGCTCAGCTGGCCCCCGTGAACGGAGGCTCCCGAGAAATGGGAGAAAAACACTTCCAAACGGCTGCGCCTGTTCGGGCTGCTGCCTTCCTTCCTTCCTTCCTTCTCTCGACAGCCATTAAAGCAGGAACTAATGGCAGCGTCTGTGGTGGCTCTCGGTTAAGAGCCCACAAATAAACACATTTTCAAACCGCGCGCGATGGGAGCGCGGCATCGGCATGACCTCAGTGCAAGGAATACAGGAAGTCCTCAACTTACGACCGCAGCGGAGTTGACAATTGCTGTGGCTAAGGTTTAGAACAGAACAGAATAGCAGAGTTGGAAGGGACCTTGGAGGTCTTCTAGTCCAACCCTCTGCTTAGGCAGGAAACCCTACACCACTTTGGACGAATGGTTATCCAACATCTTCTTAAAAACTTCCAGTATTGGAGCATTCACAACTTCTGGAGGCAATTTGTTTCACTGGTTAATTGTTCGCAGTGTCAGGAAATTTCCTCCTTAGTTCTAAGTTGTTTCTCTCCTTGATTAGTTTCTACCCATTGCTTCTTCTCCTGCCCTCAGGTGCTTTGGAGAATAGCTTGACTCCGTCTTCTTTGTGGCAGCCCCTGTTTGATTCAATGTTCACCTTTCTTTCTAAGTGGTAAAAAAGAATTCAGTACAGGTAGGCACAACGAGAATATATCTGCTGCAAAATTCCGCACTGGCAACAGGAAGGGCATCCGGCCAGTAAATACTCATTTCCATTCAGTTGCCCCGACTCCACCTCACAAGGGATTACGGGGTCATTAACTGACGACTCGTCCTATGACTTAAGACTGCCATTGAGCCCAAAATTTCTGTTGCTAAGTGAGAAAGCAGTTTAGTGAATTTTGCTCCATTTAACGACTTTTCTTGCCACAGTTGTTAAGTGACTCACTGCAGTTGTTTAAGTTAGGAATGTGGTTGTTCAGTGAATCTGGCTTTCCCGTTGTCAGAAGGTCGCAAAAAGGAGATTGCATGACCCCGGGACACTGCAATCAGAAGCTGCAATCGTTTCTCATCCAAGAAGCTTCTTCAGTTCTTCAGCTTCTTGGACGATCATTTCTCATCCAAGAACTTCTTCAGTTCTTCAGTTTCTTGGACGATCGTTTCTCATCCAAGAAGCTTCTTCAGTTCTTCAGCTTCTTGGACGATCGTTTCTCATCCAAGAACTTCTTCAGTTCTTCAGCTTCTTGGATTATCACTTCTCATCTGCTTCTTCAGTTCTTCAGCTTCTTGGACAATCGTTTCTCATCCAAGAACTTCTTCAGTTCTTCAGCTTCTTGGACGATCGTTTCTCATCCAAGAAACTTCTTCAGTTCTTCAGCTTCTTGGATCATCGTTTCTCATCCAAGAACTTCTTCAGTTCTTCAGCTTCTTGGATCATCGCTTCTCATCTGCTTCTTCAGTTCTTCAGCTTCTTGGACGATCGTTTCTCATCCAAGAACTTCTTCAGTTCTTCAGCTTCTTGGATCATCGTTTCTCATCTGCTTCTTCAGTTCTTCAGCTTCTTGGACGATCGTTTCTCATCCAAGAACTTCTTCAGTTCTTCAGCTTCTTGGACGATCGTTTCTCATCCAAGAAACTTCTTCAGTTCTTCAGCTTCTTGGACGATCGTTTCTCATCCAAGAACTTCTTCAGTTCTTCAGCTTCTTGGATCATCGCTTCTCATCTGCTTCTTCAGTTCTTCAGCTTCTTGGACGATCGTTTCTCATCCAAGAACTTCTTCAGTTCTTCAGCTTCTTGGATCATCGTTTCTCATCTGCTTCTTCAGTTCTTCAGCTTCTTGGACGATCGTTTCTCATCCAAGAACTTCTTCAGTTCTTCAGCTTCTTGGATGAGAAGTGAAATGTCTTCAAGGAAAAAACAAGGAAGTCCAGTTGCCTCTTGAAAAAGTACCCTTGGGACAACCATGATCTGGATGACTGAGAATCTTCACAGACACGCAGTTTGGTATCTGTGAGAGAAAGAGGATGAAGATGGCTCTTCCCTAACAGTTCCCAGAGTAAAGGTAGCCCTTGACTTACACCCAATTCAAGTGACCGTTTGAACTAACAACAGCACTGAAAAAGTGACTTATGACCAGTTCTCATACTTATAACCATTGTAGCATCCCCATGGTCACGTGTTCCAATTTTAAATGTTCGGCAACTGGCATGCATTTATGACAATTGTAGTGTCCACGTGGTTACATTTTGTGACTTTCCGACAAGCAAAGTCAACGGGGAAGCCACATTCACTTAACAACCGTGTTACTAACATCACAACTGCAGTGATTCAACATAACAAATATGGCTGGGGCAAAACTCACTTCACAACTGTCTTGCTTGCAACAAGTTAAGGGTTTGGATGTTTGTTTTTGTGCTTTGCATTTTATTTTTGTTGATAAAAAGAAAATAAATATGTTGGAAAAAACCCGGGTGGCCTGCTTAGCAACGGAAATGTTAGGCTCAACTGTGGTCACACTTCGAGGAACACCTGTATATGTTTTGCGGTGCAGGGAGTCCGTTTTAGTTCACCAGGATTTTTGTCCACAGGTGAGAAGCAATAAAGGAATCTGTTTAGAAGAATCTGTGTGTGTGTTTTGTTTCGTTTTTGGAGCCTCACACTCAGGAACCCACCATTTTTATGAACACACTGTTGTGACCTAGGCTCACTTAGTCATTACAGGACACAATTAGTCTCAAACAAAACTATTTTATTGTAACAGCTGAGAATTACTTCATTCCCAGCTTAGTCCAAATTAATTCCAAAACAAGTCCTTCAGAGAAAGTCCTTCGGCCTTATCACCAACCTTTATATTCTTTGACAGGCTGCCAAAGGCCTTACTTGGCAAAGCCCCACAAAGTTCAGAAACAAACAAGAGATGCCAACTGGAAACAGAGTTAGCAACGTTGCTTTCCTGCAAAAAGGCCCAAGTGCCTTTGTTTCTCTTTTAAGCCTTATGGGAGGGGCCAATCATCTCCTGGCCTTACTCCTGAGTCGTCCCTTTTGCTTTAGCTGCTCTTGTCTTCTGGCAGCTCTGCGCATGTGTGCACTAGGAACAGGATCCTCCTGTTCCTCTGCCTCTCTGCTGTCTGACTCTGGAGGCTCCGGAGTCCACGCATCACTCCCAGATGGCCCTGGCCCCATCTCTGCCTCTGACGCAGAGCCCTCGTCCGGGCCTTCCCCAGACTCCAAGACTGGCCCATGGTCCTCCCCAGCCTCCTCACTCTCTGACTCCGCTGCTAGCTCCGCAGGCTGCTGGCGGACCACAACACAGGCTGACCCCCAACCAATTTAAGCAAATTCTATAGCGCAAGCGTCTTCAAACTTGGCAACATTAAGACTGGTGGACTTCAACTCCCAGAATTCCTCAACCAGCATATGCTGGCTGAGGAATTCTGGGAGTTGAAGTCCACCAGTCTTAACGTTGCCAAGTTTGAAGATCCCTGCTATAGCACACGTACTTTATGTCAGGATTTATGCCAGTCTTACCCACATGCAGGCTTCCAGCCTGACTTTGGACATGATGGTCCATAACGAAATAGATCCTTCTACTCCTTTGTCGGGGCAGATAATCTGGTCCGGGTAGGGTGGCTCGGGAAAATTCACCGAGTTACATTCGTAAGCCGCGAGTGTCACCGATGCTATATGTGGGCCCTGCAGAGAGGAAGAAGAGGGCAAGGAAGGTAAGAATTCAACGATTGGTGGCAATCCATTTCATTTGCAGTAAACAAACAACAAAGGAGAATATTTGTAGCTCAGGGGTCTTTGGTGCTCTCTGAGCTTGTTTTCTTGCAGATGTTTCATGACCCAACTAGGTAACATTATCAATAGCCATTAACAGCATCTATAGACTAGCCGTATATGGCACATGGTGGCGCAGTGGCAATAGCACTTAGACTTATGTACCTCTTTACAGTACTTTACAGCCCTCTCTAAACAGTTTACAGAGTCAGCCTATCGCCCCCAACAATCTGGGTCCTCATTTTACCCACCTCGGAAGGATGGAAGGCTGAGTCGACCTTGAGCCTGGTGGGATTTGAACTGCCAAATTGCGGGCAGCCGGCAATCAGCAAAAGTAGCCTGCAGTACTGCACTCTAACCACTGTGCCACCATGGCTCATTAGAATGCAGTACGGCTGGCTAATTCTGCCGACTGCCAGCAGTTTGATTCTCACCAACTTCAAGGTTGACTCAGCCTTCCATTCTTCCGAAGTTGATAAAATGAGGAGCCAGATTGTTGGGGGCAAGACCCTGATTCTATAAAAACGGCTTAGAGAGGGCTGTAAAGCACTGTTAAGCAGTATATATACCGTATTTTTCGGAGTATAAGACGCACCGTAGTATAAGATGCACCTTAGTTTTTTGGGGAGGAAAATAAGAAAAAAGCTGATTGATGTGTTGATCAAATACCCCCAGTCAGCTGTTCCCAGAGGTGAATTTTAGCAACAGGTTCCTTGGTTGTGAGCTCTGTGCCTTGCTTTTTTTTCTGCCTCTGAAACTTCTGAAAGTCTGTTTCAGAAAAAACTTTTTTTCCTGCCTCTGAAAGCCTCCGAAACAGCTTCAGAAAAAAAGCCTCTGAAGCTGTTTGAGGGCTTCTTTTCTGAAGCTTCGTTTCTGATGACTTTTTCAGCCTCTGAAACCTCTGTTTGAGAAGCTGGGCGGGGCTGCATTTGGAATATAAGCAGTGGTGGGATTCGCACCACTTGTAGAGAACTGGTTGTTAACTTTCTGAGCAGTTTGGTGAACTGGTTGTTGGAAGAAATCATTAGGGCAGAGAACCGGTTGTTAAATTATTTGAATCCCACCACTGAATATAAGACACACCCAGATTTTCACCCTCTTTTTTTGGAGAAAAAGGTGCATCTTATACTCCGAAAAATATGGTAAGTCTTAAGTACTATTGCTATGCAATAGCACTTAGAGACAATCGACTAGCCAAAAAGAGAATAAAAAGACCCAAAAAGATCTCTCCACCAGCAATCAGTACCCAGATCAGCATAGATTACTCCAAGGTTATTTATTTTATTTTATCAGATTTATATGCCACCCTTTGTCCACAAGGACTCAGGACGGCTCACAGCAATAAGCAACAGCAAGTCCAGATTAAAATTCAAACAATAAAAGAAACTAAAATTCCCATTAAAACCCCATTCAGTCCAGGCCAGCCTGGCGAAACAACCATGTTTTAAGGTCACGGCGGAAAGAGCGAAGGTCGGGGGCCACCCGGAGCTCCAAGGGGAGCTGATTCCAGAGGGTAGGTGCGCCTACAGAGAAGGCTCGCTCTCTAGGGGCCGTCAGCCGACAATGCTTGGCCGACGGGACCCGAAGTAGGCCCTCTCTGTGTGAGCGCACCGGGCGATGGGGAGCTGTGTTGGCCGCAGGTGATCCGCCAAATACCCTGGGCCTAAGCCATGTAGGGCTTTATAGGTAATCACCAACACCTTGAACCTCACCCGGAGGGCAACCGGTAGCCAATTCAGGTCATGCAGGAGGGGTGTGACATGGGCAGGGTGGATAAAAATCAATGATTTTTTTTAAAAAAATCAGATTTTTTTGATTTAAATCGGATTTTTTTTTATTTTTATCAAATTTATTTTAATAAAAAAAACTTTGGGGGTAAAAATCTGTCGTAAGATAGTTTTCTATTTAAGATAACATAAATAATTTAGTTTATTCAGCATGAAATGGAGCTTAGTTATGTAGCAGGAGGCTGTATATTCTGCAACACTGGGACTATCGGTGAGTCAACAGTGGGTCGAAGGAGTAGCCGAGATGACAGTTGCTCTTTAAAAATTACGATTTAAATCGAGTTGATTTAAATCAAGCCTTTTTACTAGTGATTTAAATCATGATTTAAATTGTGATTTAAATCAACTCTATTTAAATCAAATCCACCCTGGACATGGGAGCATCGGGACACTCCCATCACTAACATCAGACCAACAATTAAGTAAACAACACCCCAATCAGGAAACTGTCAAAGAAGCCAATAGCAAACATCCCAGCCAAAGAATCTCTTAAGACCACCCTGATCAAAACTGACAGGGCGAGACACTACTAGAATATAAACTGAGAGCAAACCACGTTCCCTTCTAGCACTGATGATGTTACCTAGTTGGGTCACGAAACGTCTGCAAGAAAACAAGCAAGCTCAGAGAGCACCAGGGACCCCTAATAAACAAACACAAGAGTCCCTGTTATAACCCCATGCCCTAACCTAGAGTGCCCTCAGCGTTGGGACTCCAATTCCCATAAATACTCCAAAACAATTCGCTGGAATCCGGCCACGGTACAAAAGGGATTTCGGCTCCTTTCATTAATTACAAGGCAGAATTGTACTAAAATCTCTGGAGAGCTGTTTTCTTTCTGGAGGTTTTTTTTTTTCCTCCCCACCTCTGCCCCCCCATGACTCAGAGTTTGTACTGGCAGCACTTCGGGCCGTGGGGGCGCCCTGGCCAGTTGCCAAAGCTACCTTCCCTTCCTAAAGAACGGCTGGGGGAAGATAAAGGGGGAGGAAGTACAAAATGCAATAAAAGCCAAGCCAAGGAGAAAGCGTGACTGGGTGACTCACTCTTCTATCCCTACCTTACATGAGAATCTCATTTCTGCTTGGCCAGTTTAACCCTGGGATGATGACTCCCAAATGTCTGTCCAACAGTCACTCATGAGGTCATCATGGTAAGGCTGGGACAAATTATTTGTTCCCCATCGCTGAACTTTCCAGATTTTGACTTACAGCAAGGGTCAAGGGTGAGAGAGAGAGAGGGAGGGAAGGAGGGAGGGAAGGAGGTCCTTCTAATGACCTGCTTCCTGATTTTCCGGCAAGAAAGGTTGTAAAATTTATTTATTTATTTATTTATTTATTTATTTATTTATTTATTTATTTATTTATTTATTTATTTATTTATTTATTTATTTATTTATTTAATTTATTTATTTGATTTATATGCCGCCCTTCTCCGGAGACTCAATGCTTTTAAGCAATAGCCTTCATACTTTTTTGTATATACCTGCTTAGTAGGGCTTTCGCCCCCCCCCCAAGTGGTGTCCTTTTTTATACGAAGTCAGCTTATTGCCCCCACAATCCGGGTCCTCATTTTACTCACCTCGGAAGGATGGAAGGCTGAGTCAACCTTGAGCCTGGTGAGATTTGAACTTGCAGTAATTCCAGGCAGCTGGCAGCTAAGTGCTACTTTAACAGCCCTTAGTGCACTGCGCCACCAAGGCTCAAAATGGAGGCAAAACTCACTTAACAACTAACTGTGTTGCTTAACGCAGTTAGAAATGTTGGGCTCAATTGTGGTCGTAAGTCGAGGACTATCTGAATTTTCTCCAATAATACGAAATAATCAGCGGAACGACTTGCCTCCAGAAATTGTGGGTGCTCCAACACTGGGATTTTTAAAGAAGAGATTGGACAGTCAGTTAGAAAAACAGAGCCATGGAGGGACCATGGAGGTCTTCTAGTCCAGCCCCCTGCTCAGGCAGGAAACCCTATACCACTCCCCATACAAATGGTTATCCAACATCTTCTTAAAAACTTCCAGTGTTGGAACATTCACAACTTCTGGAGGCAAGTTGTTCCACTGATTAATTGTTCTCACTGTCAGGAAATTCCTCCTCAGTTCTAAGTTGCTTCTCTCCTTGATTAATTTCCACCCATTGCTTCTTGTCCTGCCCTCAGGTGCTTTGGAGAATAGCTTGACTCCCTCTTCTTTGGGGCAGCCCCTGAGATATTGGAACACTGATATCCTGTTACCCCCAGTCCTGCTTTTCATTAAACTAGACATACCTAATTCCAGCAACCATTCTTTATACGTTTTAGCCTCATTTGTCTGAATGCACAAGGATTTCCTGCTTGAGCAGGGGGTTGGACTAGAACAGGGGTCCCCAACCTTTCGGACCTCAGGGACCACCAAATTCGTAATTTTAAATCCCGCAGACCACTAATATGATCTGCCTAATGACCGGCTGGAGGGGCGGGAGAGAAATGGCTAGGTGGTCATGTGACTGAGTGGGTGTGGCCAAATCACTCACGTTGAGGGGCACCTCGCCAGCCTCTACTCCCCTCTCCACTCCCACCCCCTCGGGCTCTTTAGGGCCCCAACAGGAAGCAGTTATTGGAGCTAAGCAGCCACCACGAGAAAGAGTTGGCAAAACAGCTGGCTCAGTTCAAATTGGATTTGGCCGAGAAGGAGGCTCAGCAGAAGCACCTCACTGAGGACTACGAGCATAGGCTTTCCAAGCAGAGGGAAGACCTGCGGGAGTGCAAGGCCAGGTTCCGGCGCCTGGAGGCTCAGCGGGTTGAGATGGTCAGCCAGTTCCAGGCCATGAGGCAGTCCCACTGGAACAAGGCCCTCCAGCGGCACTTCCCCCCAGCCTTCGCCCAAAGCCCCCGCACCAGGAGGCTGAAGTAGACCCCGAGTCGGAATTTCCCCTTGAACCCGCACAAAAAGACCCCGAAGGGGGAGACTCTCTGCAGCAAAACTAACATTCATTGCACGTATCTGTCCGAGGGGCCGTAGTTTGAGGACCCCTGATTTAGTGCAATATAAAAAATGCAAATAATTTTTTTGCGGACCACCAGTGGTCCACGGACTACCAGATGGTGACCGCTGGATTAGAAAGCCTTCAAGGTCCCTTCCAACTCAGTT